AAAAAAATGACTATTTATATAATATAACCTAACCAATTTTATAAAATACCAAGAACACATAATTATGTGTATATTATAAGCCACTAATAAAAATTTACGTATATATTTTTTTCTACGAATTAGCTGAAGGATGAAAACAAAAATTTAATAATAGATTCAAAATATTAATATTGAGTTCAGTAGCGAAATGTAAGAATTTTTTGAAATCATGGGAACTATCATATTTTATTTTCAATATCATGACAAAATATTTTTAAAAAATATTTCGCCTTGTTAAAAAAAAATTGTATACGTGATACCAATGACATATAGTAATACATAGACTGACGATAACGATGCATTCATCACGAATAAATTGTTTTACATGTATACAATAATTCTTAAGAATATAGCTTTAATCTATATTTCCAACATTTTTAAATATAATTTTAAATTTATATATAAATAGGGGTGTCCTAGGTCGGCTCAATACTTAATAGCCGGCTATTTAGCCGTCTTTTTAGGCTAAAAAGGCCAAAAAAGTGAGAAGATATTAAAATTTTAAGCACCCCACTCATTTAATTTTCTAAATGACGATTCTACATATCCGTTTAAACTATATTAATATGAAATATATTTAAAAAGTAACTTGAAAAGTAACTTGAAAAGTAACTAGGTAAAGGGAGGAAGGAAGGAAGGATCTAAAAAATGCCACTCATTATAATTTCGAAAGTTATTAATAAGAGCGATTTTTTTTTACAAAATTATATTTCCAATAAACTAGCTAGCATTAACAATAATTAAATCTTAAAATATTAGACCAGTTTCCCGTATTATTATATAATTTTGTATCAAATTCATTTTTAAATTAAAAAAAACGTGAAAAAATTTTACCCTGCATGATATGAACCATATACTTCGGATCGCTAGACAGACATTAAGAATATTGGACTAAGTTACTAGAATAAAAAGCTTTTAATTTGTATGCATTTTAAATTAAGTAAACGAGATTGGTTGCTAATCTACTTATTATACCAGGTTTATTTGTGCATAGAAATAAAATTTATTACAAAAAAATATTTTTTTTTCTATCTTTATGAACTATTCATATATAAGTGGCAACGTCTTTTGGCGGCTAATGGAGGTCTAAAAGGTTCCTTGTTGTCTGGGTCTAGAATAGGATCACCGTGTCCTCGACGGGGTGTAAAAAAACCACCTGAAGGGATTGTTGTCAGGAAGGGCATCCGATTGTAAAAAACTTTGTTACAAAATTTCTTAATAATTAAATTAGAGGGAAAACTGGCCAACCAGGGTAAACCTGAAAGTCGCCATTTTATGTACTATTAGATCTAAAACAAAAACTTTGAACAATTAAGGACACATACAAAAAAAATTGACTTTTTATGGCTTCTATGTATACTTATTTTAAAAAAAGATCCTACTTAAAACAAGCCAAATTAGGGTGTCCTTTGTTCAAATCATTTTTAGCCTGTACTAAATAGCAATCAAATATCCAAATTAAACCGACCTTTAGACACAGCCTAAATGCTTAAAATATTTTAATATTTTTTTTTGGTTTAAAAGTTCTTTTTCGAGACATTTATTTTATAACGATTCATAAAGCCTATGATATATATTTAATTATTTAAAATTTATATATTTGTGTATTTAGAAATTATCTGAAGCATAGATATTTTTAGCCTGTACTAAATAGCAATCAAATATCCAAATTAAACCGACCTTTAGACACAGCCTAAATGCTTAAAATATTTATTTATTTTTTTTGTTTAAAAGTTCTTTTTCGAGACATTTATTTTATAATTGATTTCATAAATATTATATATATTTAATATTTATAATTTATATATTTGTGTATTTAGAAATTATCTGAAGCATAGACATTCTTAATATGACTCCTAGAATATTTCTAAAAAATTAATTCCCACCGCACCCTACCCCCATAGCGATTTTCCGGTGTACGCGCCTTGACTAGCTCCACTTAAGAAATGAATTAATAAATTAAATCGAAGGTTTCTACCTAAAAAAAATTTTAAATCTTAACTTTTCATTTATTCTTACTTTTTTATTAACCATTTTTTAAATTTTAAAAAATCTGACTTAAAAAATAAAACTAATTAATTATTTATTTTTCTTATTTCCCGTTAAATTTACGAGATGGTGGTTGAAATGAGACAACTTCTTCTTTTTTTTTACAAAAAGTAGACATTTTAAGACATATTTTTATTGAGATTATTTATGAGATAGTTTTCAAATTAGAAAAAATTTATTTTATTTTTTAAAAACAAAATTTTTTAATTAATTTCTTCTATATTATTGTCAAATTTTAATAGTGAAGGAACAATTTCGTCATTCGTGGTATTTTTTTTCTCTTCCATTTTACAATTTATTACAACTAAAACATTTTTTTTTTCATTTTGTGACAATGACAATTTTTTTTACACATATTATATTGGTATAAAACTTGACATTGAGCCATTATTCTAAATATTATATATTAACCCTAACCCATGTCTCTATATTTTATTTTTATCTAGATCTGGGTAAATAATGGTCCCTACAATGATGGATTGAAAAAAAGGGAGAACAACTAGTAGTGTATATCATGCTATTAGATTAATTTATTTATTGAAGAAAACATATATACAGTCACAAAATCCTAATCAAATAATATACGGCACAAACAATCATATTATATTAACAAGCAAATTCACATTATTATATAAATCCATAACGTACGAAACATCTTGATCACCTGATATCTCGATTCCCTTTTCTATATCCTAAGTGTTAGGTAGCTAATCGTTACATCTAATAATGGTGTAATATCTACCCACTTACCATGATATTATATCCTAATCCTATTAGAATTTGTAAAATTTCTAATATAAATGGTTTGGTTAAACTTAAAAATCTGTTTAAAAAGACAATTTTTTAATCAACGTCATTTTACAAGAGGAATCCAAGCCGAACCTAAAAACGTTAACCCAATTTTAACCGTTATTGCTTACGATCGTAAACCATTTAAAAATTTGTCAACTACGCCTACCTTTTAATATCCTAACTCTTTAACAATTCGATATATTTGTATATTGCTATATAATGGTATGAGCGACCCAAGTTAGTGTATAGACGCGTACTCAGCCATCTAATTTAATCCTTCCCCTTATAGATTTAATTTGATGGAAGTGAATCTTAAAATAATTTTTAATTGTATGTACGGATCAATACCATTTCTATGGGAATTGTGATTTAAAAAAATTTTTTTTATATATATGGGCTTTTATTTTTATAATAATTATAAGATAGTTATCTGAAAGAGTTCAAAGCGGGTTTTAAAGATTCAACTCGGACCGATATTATTGTTTTTATTAACCGAATCCGAATCGATATTCATTACGGTTCGGATCATAGTTTTGCAGACCATAATTAAGATTTCAAAGGTTTCCACTATCATTCTAAATAAAATGATATTTCATTTCTTATATATGTTTGAAATGAGAAGATTCAATAACATTAAATAATACTGATTCATTTGTTAAAAGTGTATTGTCACCAGTAGAATAGGTGTCATTGAAATGCATTTCGCTTGAAATGCCTATCACATTTCGTCTAAATGCCTTTTCAATTGTATGTACGCTTTCCTAGGTTTGTATTAATGTCTCATCGACTTTACGAGATAAAATTGCTATACCCTCCAAAGTCATTACTATGTATAGCCTTATGTCTTTTTTAAAATTTTATATTCGTTTTAAGAAGTTTACATATTTTTATATTTATAAATAAAAAATTTTAGGCCTATAAAAATTTAGTAGAAAGAAATTGAGAAAAAATAAAATAAAGATGTTGATATAAATAAATTCGACCCCTAAGAATTCATAAGTGGCCAGTTGCTGTTTAAGTTGCGTTACCTTTAGATTTATTAATTGCGGATTTTCTTTGAGGTTAAGAACTTATTCATTTTTTGAAGAAATTCGAAGTATTTTCAATTTTTTCTAGAAACAAACGATATTTTCAATATACTTTAAATGAAGACTTCTTGAAGGCCATTCCAAAGTTGTAATGCTATCTTATATACATATTTTTGTCAATTTGGACGTGTCAAATAAACAAAGTTTCTCTATTAGGAACCAAAATTACAAATCATATACCATTACATTATCTGTTAATTTAGTTGTTCTTTGAAGGGCAATGATAAATTGAAAGTAGTGTTGTTAACCGGCTCGATTTGAGCCGATTTTTAAGAATGGCTAACTAACATTTTAGCCAGGAAAATATTGTCTAAGTGTCGAGATTTCGCCAATAGAAGTTTAATGCTATGTGCCATCTATGAGCAAAATCTTTAGGCTTGCGTGATATTTGTCTGGATAAAATATTGAATTAGCCGTTTATAAAAACCTGGTCAAATCGAGCCGTTTAACAACACTAATTACTATCATCTGATTTATTTTTTATTTACTATTGGACGTATAATTTGGCTGACATAAAGTAAAGAAGGAATTTTCGCCTATGAAAGGTTGTCATTCCACATGGCTCAAGATAATTTCTAAATAAAATTAAAGAGACTCAAGCGAGGTTTCACTTGACCACTATCCTTACTATAATAAATTCTGCCGAAAATATTCCGATCTTATCGATTATTTTCCCAAATGTGATCGAAGATGCGCGAGCAAGGCCTTATACCACAGGAGAGGGTGGGAGATATGATGCAAGATCATCATTGAAATTGAATGTAAGTAGTTATGTTATAAGGAGGGGTAGGGGGATTAAGGGAGTAAGGGGGTGAAATGTTAGAAGGGGGATGGGAAATGAACAATTAGGTGAAGTGTACTCTTTCTCTTTTTTTTAGTTATAATTCAATAATATTTTTTTGTTACAAACAAGAATCAAATACAATTATAATATTTGTATCTATAATAATATAAGCTATACGTTTGTTTTGTGTGTATAAAAATTAATTATATTTTTAAAATAAATTATTGAGTATAAAAACAAAATACTATATATAAATTGTCGTGTCCTGAACTCAAAATTTTAACAAATTTATAATAAATTTTTCTATTAGGAGAAAATAGAAATAAAATATTTATATATATATAATATATGATTCAAAATTTTTTTTGCGAGGAACATCGGTAATATTTTTTATTTATTATTAACGATTATATTTATAAAGCGACTATAATTCAAATGCAGTTAGAATAAAAATACCAAATTAAAGTTTATATGGACTCGGTAAATTTAAAAGATCGGATCGGATAACCGGCGGGTCATTTATAAAGATGTATGAATGATGGAAAAGGAAGGAGATTATAAATTTACAACAAATTTATAAACTGGCAAAAACCCAGGGAGGCTTGTTAAATAAAAGTAGACTTGGAGTTAACAAAAAGTAAAAGTGATTTAAAAAAGGCTTTTGGGAGTAGGGTTAATAAAATATTCTGTTTGATGCATCCAAGGTTTTGATAGGAGTATAGGATATAAACCATAGGAAGATAATATAAATAGGTTAGGGATGTTTAAATATATATATATGAAAAATTGGATAGTAAAATTAAGTTAAATATAATTCTATAATTCAATTTTAATCATTCTAGAAATTAGAAAAAATTAGCTGGGAGATGTCCTATAAAAAAAATGATTGTTTATTTAAACTAGAAATCCTACATGATAGACGCAGTAAATGACTATTTTTTCATCTTCTTCTTCTATTAGGAATCGGGGAAAAATATTTTAAGAGAGGGTGGGGATTTGCAGGATTCGGTGTGGTTGTCCAATTTTGTAGGAGATTGGTTTGTGGCTATTAAATCTAACAGGGAAACGCCTTTAGTACCGTCGTAATTTTTGGTAGATCGCCGTGCGGATTTACCCCTTTGGGATTGACGATTCACGGATATGCTTTGCGATCGGGATTTAACTTCATCGTCGGTTTCCGTCTCCGTTTCTTGGGTTTAAAAATAAAAATTTATTTGAAACAAAAATTTTGTCCTTTCATCCCTTTCTTCTTTCCCTTTTCCATCTCATGGTTGAACACTATCAATGCCCATGTGTAATTCATCTATTTTGGGAAATTAAGTTTAGTTTAGATGGTCCAATAAATTTTTCGAATATAAAGATCTTAGGGAAATTTTTTTTGATAAGTATTATAAGTATAGCTTATTGAATCATAATTTTTAACGTACATACATATTTAATCTTAACCCATTCTCCATATGGACGTTTTAGCTTGGTCTCATAAGGGATGAAATAGAAGAAATAGTAAAAATGGCAGAAACCATTACCACCTATTAGTTTATTAGTTTTCGTTCGGCAATTCATACAATAAATAATAATAATTCAGGATTATACCCTTTCCCTCAACAGATGTGTAATTTTTGTAGTTATTGTTAAAGAAGGACCCTGACGACGGTGCTTTAAAAGGCGACGATTCTTTGATCAAGGGCGATTTTGTGGTGAAGATAGGAGACTGGCTAGTCCCGTGTTTAAATAGGTCCCTTTTATTTCGAGGACTGAATTCATTTTTTCGGCTCAGGAATTCTCCGTAGAGCGATCTCAAGCTAACCGACTTGTCCTTTTTCTTGGGTGAGTATTCGCTCCGAATGGAGATTTTATTGGTATGGTTCGGTTTAGTTAGTGAGGTTAATAAAGTGGAAAGCGATTCTTTTGCCATATTCGCGATGTTAATAAATAAATAAATAAATAATTAAAACAAGCAATCATATTTGTAATTATAATTTTTTTTTTAAAAAATAGTGACTATTTTGTAAACTGGAGAGTAATTTTATAAAATAACCTCCTTCATTTTCGCTCAAATTTTCGTAGTAATCATTTTCCAGGGCGCTCTCGTCCTCTTCCGACAAGCTCATAGAATTGAGCCTAGGCGATCGCGATTTATCTGTTGGGTAGGTAGATGATAAGGGTTTGAGTTCAATGTTGAAATCCCCTATTTTTTTGTTATCATCCTTATCAATTTTGATACTGACGGTAGAGGCCAGACTATCGGGGGACAAGGAGGTAGGAGTTTGCGTTGTGGGTGCTATTTCTTATTAAAATTAAAGTTATTGCATTAATATAAATTTTATCATTTTTTAAAAAAAAAAAAAATTTGTTAAAAGTAAGGTTTTAACAAAAAAAAAATTTTCAATGAAGCATCTGAAATTTCATTTTTTTTTGTCCAAATATTTTGAGCAAAAATCTTTGAAGATTAAGATTGGTCAAAATATGAAGATTAATTAGTATCGTTAATTAGCCAAGTGAAAGAAAGAAAGAAAGAAAGAAAGAAAGAAAGAAAGAAAGAAAGAAAGAAAGAAAGAAAGAAAGAAAGAAAGAAAGAAAGAAAGAAAGAAAGAAAGAAAGAAAGAAAGAAAGAAAGAAAGAAAGCTAGAAAGAAAAAAAGAAATTAAAGAAAGAAAAAGAAAGTCGAGCTAAATTGTTAAAAGATAGTAAGCCAAAAATCGAGCGATTGCAAAATACCATTTTCAATCATTGGATATTTAGGAGCGTTCGGGCAATAATGGTATTATATCGTCCGCTTATATTAGTTGATATTATTTCCGAAATAATTTGCATATTTTAAAGTAATAGGGTGTTTATTCTATTATAAAATAATTATATATTTAAAAAAAAACTAGTTTTAATATATCGTCCTCCTGAGAATTAGATTGTTCTATATCCCCTAATTTGTCGAAAAATGACTTTAAAAAATTCGAAATATATATTTCGTATGGGGATTCGGAATCTCCTGATTTTAAATCTTTTACCGAGGGCGATTTAAAAAATTTAAAATCCTATTTAACCGGAAATGTATTCTAGCAAGTGTAGAGTATTTACCCGATAAATTTCAGCCACTTTTGCCATGAACTTTAGAAATACTTCTAATTTATATTAATCATTATATGGATTTTTCATATAAATAAAAAAAATACTCGAATGTCTATGGCTGAAATTTATATGGTAAATACTCTACACATGCTAGAATATGTTATATTTGAATGTTTATATATATTTTAAAAGGTTACGCTATTTGAATTATATATTATTATAACTTTCTTACATTTAATATTATCTTATGGAGGTCAATGTAATTGCATATTAGTAGAATTTAAATGACATAATTATAAAAGACTATATATAGGAAACAATTTTATAATAAAGAATCTATTGTTTTGACTATAAAAGAATACATTTCCGGTTAAATCGGATTTTAAGATTTTTTAAAATGCCCTCGATAAAGGATTTAAAATCATGATCAAGACATATATATAAAATTAGTTATAGCCAAATATAAGGTTAGAAATCTTATTGAAAACAATAAAAATTTATTTTTTTTAAAATTGCTCTCCCCTATAAAATTACAAAAGGTGGAGATGGAATAATCTATTTCTCGGGCGACGCTATAATGACCAACCAAACAATCAATTATCTCAAACGATAGTAAAGTTCTGGGTGCTTTAGAGGATTTAGTCGTAATTGGGCAGAATAAAACCTTATTCTTTTTTTTTAAAACCATAATTTTTAGATATATTTATCCCCTCTTATTTCATTTTTCTTATAAATGCCTTTTAGGCCATAAACGTAACCTTCCCCCCCCCCATCCTTTTTTATACGTATTTGTATACGCTAGCATTCTTCCTTAAGAAGACCCAAACAATAATTTCCCGAACCGAGGGTAGATAAACTATTTATATAAAGTGAAAAAGATTAATAGTCTAAAACAAAATTAGTTCTTATTTTACTGCCGCCACACAAAGAAATTCTGAATTTTTGTAATATACGGATATTTCGATGAGACAATAACATATTTTACATTTTTATACCATCACAAGGGAGAGGGGAGTCGGGTTTGGAATCCCTCCAGAGCAATTTTTTTTTTCAGATTATACGTTCAAAACTCAAAAGTGACTTTATATCAAATAAATACCATGAATATTTATATTTTTCTGGTTTTAATGTTAAAATTAGTGTTGTTAATGGCTCAATTTGAGCCGATATGGCTAACTCAATATATTAGCCAGAAAAATATGCAAGCCTAAAGATTTTGCTCATGGATTTGTAGCCGTTGAAAAAAAGAAGAAATAAATTTAATATAATATACTAAATGTCAGTCATTTTTTTGGATATGGATAATTAATTTTCCTTGGGGAGGGAAGTGTGAGGTAGAGACCATGGGATGCCATTGTGGGAGGACAAAGAGATCAAGAATGCACGGAATATATTGAATGACTTGGACTGATCTTAAAGATTTCACAATGTAATTTGGATAATTATCGTTAACTTGTTTTCATATGAATGTTAATTTTTATATTATCAATTTGTGATATTGTTAAATAAAGAATTTGAAGGGAATTTTATAGTTAAGGGGTTTTTACTTTCAGATTAAGTATTGATAGGGTTGAGAGTAAGGGGTTTGTATATTTTTACAGATGATACAAAGGTTTAGACATTATTCGTGAAATCTCTAGGCTTGAGCAATATTTTTTTGGCTAAAATATTGAGTTAACTGTTTATAAAAATCGGCTCAAATCGAGCCGTTTAACAACATTAATTAAAATGATCAATAACTTTAGGACTTTTATATTATAAGAAAAACAAATATGATTTTATATATATGGACCCCCTTTAAGGAAAATTCCTAGCTACGCCACTGTTTGTAAAAGATACCCCGATTCGGGTAATTAATTTACTTTCGCTCGAAGTCTCACCAATGACATTGGGCGTAGGGCCGGCACCGGTCATTCTCTCCAGCATGCTCGCTCTAAGGGCCGCCAAGTACTGACTTCTCTTGACTCTGAGGTAAAGCAGCGAGGTCAGGGCTTGCACCGTGTAATCTGGAACGAAGGGAGATATCGTCTTGAGAATTTGGTTAAGGGCTTCGCTAGATAGTTGAAAGCCTGTATCGAGCACTTTACTAAGCTTTTCGTCCGTGCTTAGAGCTTGTTTAAAAATAAAAAATAAATATATTTTTATATTAAAAAAAATATACCCTAATAACTTAAGACAAATATGACTCCTTTTTTCTCCAAAACTAAAAAGGGATAACATTACACAATCACTTTTTTTATATATTATTTTCTGTAGTCGTTATGTAGGAAAGTCATCTGATCTTAATAAATTTAAAGGTAGGTAAGCCTCGCATCCAAAAGACACCCCATGACACTTCTTCTGTCACTTTTCTACCCTTTTAAGGGTTAAAATGAGCCATAATATCTTAAAATGATCTCGTATAAATCTTGCGTTTCTTGGAGTGAGGGAAGAAGAGGAAGTTTGTTAAATATTTCAATTTACAACTTGGTTATCCATAATTGCGAAAATATATTAAACTGCTAGATTCCTCTATTCATTATCTTTTTCAAATTTATTTTATTATTTTTGCAATTTACCGTCGAGAGAATTTATGCCGAAATAGCTGAAAGGTCCGGATTCAAAGCAAATATTTTCTTGGCCAACGTAAACTCTAACCTTTCCTTCCAGTATGAGGATAAAATAGTCCGCAGGAACACCTTTAGATTAGATGTTATTTTTTTAAATAAAGGGATATTTCAAACAAAACAAAAAAAAAGGTTTATAAAAGATTAATATTTGGGTTCTTTCGTAGACTCCTCGAAATAAACAAATCTTTAAAGATTCATTCAATCTTCCTTTCTTTCTCTCTTTTAAAAAAAGAAAGAAAGAAAGAAAGATCAAAATAAAATGAAGACTTTAAACTTCTTGTTTGAGTATGTTATTTTTAATCTAATAATGGACTCGAAATTCCAAATTAACGTAGAGAATCGAAGAGATTTTTTAAAAAAATACACCAAATAGTATCTGTTATTTCTATCTTTTCTTATCTTGGACAGGAAGAATAAAACCTTAAAACAGAGAACAAAATACAAACAAACAAAAAATTTGAAGTTTTAATTAAAAAAAAATCCAATTTACTAGAATTAGGGATATGCGTAGTCCAGCCCGTCAAGATTTTATATTCAAGTTTTAAGGGCAAATATTTTATGTGATTTACCCGACCCAGGGCCGATTAAATATTCGAAATTAATTAATCGACCCGGCAAAATATTTTCGGAGTCACGGGACCCGGTCTCTTTAAAATACAGTTTTAAAAGATCTATAACTAGAAACTCGAATCGAATTTATAGTATATTAGACCATTATTGAATAACTTTTTAAAATTAACAAGTAAATATAAATTTAGATATCTTTCCAATATTGGCCCTTTGGTTCTTGTTCTTCGATAATTAACGAAGGTACACTATTTAAAATCATCAAAAAATGTCCCTTTTTGGTTTACTATTTATCAAAATGAAAGACATCCCCAAATTCATACTCAAAAATAGGTATTTAAACCTTTGGAGTAAATTTGATTAGATTTATCTGTATCGATCTGAGGGTTCCAAAAGCCGACAGTGTCCTCGCCATTCTTCAAGCTGAAGACTTGAAGCAATTCTGGTTGTCTAACCAATTTCCTTAGCACGTTGTGAGATATGTGAATCTCTTTGAAAGCATCGACATCTACAAAGTAATGATATAATTCAATTTATTTTTAAACTTTATTATATTCTTGGGAATTTTGAAAAGAAAATCACGCAATTTTAAAATATTATTTTTTTTCTTTTTCCTAGCAAAAAAAGGTAATAAAGAAATTAATATTAATTTCTCCATAACAAATACTAGGGATTTACCGATATTTTTTATCGAAACGAATGGTGCAGATATTTCATCTTTCGAAATACCGGTGAAATATCGGTTATCGGCCGATATTATAAAATTTCCCGATCCGGTAAAATGGCGTCTTAAATAAAATTTGTTTCAAATTTTAATAATGTAATTGTTTATTACTTCTCATGTAATTAGATTAAAATGTTATTAATATAAAATAATGCTTTATCAATAAAAAAACATATTTCATAAATACTTTTTTTTAGATTGATGAATAAAAATTATAAAATTGATCATTATAATATATCTTGATGACTTGTGTTATAGTATATAATAATTTATATTTTTATAAATGTTATACTATTAAAAGGTATATACAAGATGAGTAAGATGTATGCATTAAAAATTAAAACCTATTATAGTGTTTATAGAATAACAAAATCAGATATGATATCGAATCGGTAATCGGCCTATACCAATTTAATATCGGTAATATAGGATAGGATCGGCCTCCAAAAAGTGGTATCGGTACACCAACTAAACAAATACTAACAATATATAAATTCATTAATTAAATTCAAAAATCAAAATATATTTATTGATAATATTGATTTTTTTTAAAAAAAAAATAATGTTATATAATGATAAATAAATTTTTACTATCTCCTCTTACTTTTCCTATCAATCATCTTTCTTTTTTTTAGTGTTGTTAAAAAGCTACGATTATAACCAAGATAATATTGTGTAAGCCTGGTGATTTTGCTCATAGAGATGGCAGAAAGGTTTGTGCTTCTACTTGCCAAATCTTGAGGCCTTACACGATATTATATTGGATATAGAATCTCAATCGTGCCGTTTTTTAAAATGGATACAAATCGGGCCTTTTAACAACATTTATTTTCTATCTCGTGGTTTGAAAATTCTTTAATTTATTTATTAATTTCCCCCTGTTGGAGTAGTGTTGTTAAAAGGCTCAATTTGAGCCTATTTTTAAAAAACGGCTAACTCAATATTTAATCCAGAAAAATATTATGCAAGCCCTAAAGATTTTTCTCACAGATGGCACATAGGATTGAAACATCTATTGGCGAAATCTAGACGCTTAGGCATTTTCCTGGCAAAAATGTTGAGTTAGCCGTTTTTAAAAATCGGCTTAAATCGAGCCGTTTAACAAACACTAAGTTGGAGACACTATAATAAAAATTTAATCTATTGGCTTATTAACACTAAATGACAAACAAAAATAAAATGATAAATAAATATTATTTTTTAGTTTTTGAATCTTAATCGCGTAAAATTAATTCTTTTAAAATAATGCATATGTCGTATAGGGATTCGGAATCCATCTCCTGATTTTAAATCTTTTACTAAAGGCGATTTTTTGGATTTTAAAAATCTGATTTTGCCGGAATTGTATTTCAGCATGCATAGAGTACCCAAACTGTAAATTCCAAACAATTTTGCCATGAACTTTAGAAATACTTGCAATTTATATTAATTTTTATATGGATTTTTCATATTAAATTTAAAAAAATACTAAAATGTCTATGGCTGAAATTTATAAGGTAAATACTCTACACATGCCGGAATATATTTCCGGTTAAATCGAATTTAAAATGTTTTTAAGTCGCCCTCGGTAAAGGATTTAAAATCAAGAGATTCCGAATCCCAATACAAACATATATAATACTATTAAAAATCCTTTTTTTTAAAAAATTAAACATGACTAATTTCATTCGATAAAAATGATATAATAATTAAACAATCGAAATTATAATATACCGCAGATAAACGTGAATAAGCAAAATATAATAAATAATGTTGTTATACGGCTTGATTTGAACCAAGTTATCTAAAACGGCTAGCTCAATATTTTAGCCAGAAAAATATTGATTAGGCCTCGAAATTTCGCTAATAGATGTCCAAACCTTGGTGCCATCTTTGAGCAAAGTCCTCAAACTTGCGTAACATTTTTTTCTGTATAAAATATTGGGTTAGCCGTTTTTAAAAATCGGCTCAAATCAACCCGTTTAAACAAACATTAATAATAAATATTAATTTATCAATATTCTTAAAATTCAATTCAAAAATATATGAAATATGACATAAAATAAAAATAACCTTTAAATAAACTATTAACTAGGCACGATAATAAAAAAAAAATATTTGTCCCTCCAAAATATATGAAATGAAGACAAATATATATCACTTTCTTTCTTCTTTCCTTATTTCCTTTATTTATCAAAGGAAAGAAAACGTTTGAAAAAAAAAGGATTATAATCTTTTAGTTATTTCTCCCAAAGCCTCGAATAAGATAATCATTTTCCATTTTTTTTTGAGTTCTTTCTACTCTATCTATCATTCCATTCTTTCTTTCCATTCCTTCCCTCTCAATAATCTCACTAACTTGAATTGAGAAATTGGTAAGTGACGAGGGCCATTTGAGGCGTCATAGGCGAATCCTGGAGCTCGCTTTCAGCCGCCTTTCCCCCGAGTCCGCTTCGTATGAACCAACTGAAATCATGCATCTTCTTCTGTTGTCGTATCTGCTTGTTCCGATTGTCCACTATATATATATATATATACACACGAATGTTATAAAAAAATATCTTAAATTTTTTAAGGGAGATAAACTAGTTTTAATTGACTATTTATTTTTCTTTGGACAGTAGATTAATCAAATTGAGAAGAATTTATATAGTCCAAAAAAAAATCAATGTTTTGGGCAGTATTTATAAAATACTGAATAGGTAAAAAAAATAATGAAAAATTGTCCAACTGTTTTATTTTAAAAAGTTATCATCAATATATTTTGGCTAATTATATAAGATTGACTGGGTAAAGAGATGCACCTTGATGGAAGCAGGAGGATCAAGACCTAGAGGAAGGCCCGAGATGACGTAGCGGCGGATATGAGAAAAAAATGAATCTTACAAAAAATTGATACTCAGGACTAGTGTTGTTAAACGGCTCGTTTTGAGCCGATTTTTAAAAACGGCTAACTCAATATTTCGTCCAGAATAGTATTACGCAAGCCTGAAGATTTTGTTTATAGAAGGAACAAGGGTTTGGACATCTATTAGCGAAATCTCGAGGCTTAGAAAATATTTACCTGGCTAATATATTGAATTAGCTGTTTTTAAAAATCGGCTCAAAACGAGCCGTTTAACAACACTACTCAGGACCGTCAAAAATGGAAAAGAAAAATCAGAGGGAAAACTGGCCAACCTGGGTAAACCTGGAAATCGCCATTAAACGGAAAAGAAGAATGTATTATAATTCCAGATGATCTTACAATTTATTTAATTTTCCATTCATAAAATCTTTCAAGTTAATAGGGGAAGGATGCGGCCCAGTAATATTTAATAAGGGTTGGAAATATCGTTATAATTTCATTAGTTAAAGGTTTTTGAGAGGAAGGACACGGTATCCCTTTGTAACTATGTTTGTAAAAAATATTGGCCTTTGTCACTTTGATTAATTTTGCAACAAATTGTTACGAATTGTTTGACACTATTAGAATAAAGAAATAAATAAAAATAATATTATGATATTAATTCCGCAAGATGGCAATTATTGTTAATAAAATAATTTAGAAACGTTAGACCTTTGGGAAATACTCTCCAAAATATTAAAGGTTCCAATTATCAGCTGAATAAGAGTAACAAATTGATAGTGCGGTGCGTTATAAGAAAATAACTCATAGCTTAATAGATTATTTTTTAAACTGCCCGTTTATTTTATAAATCTTAAAAAATAATCTAGCCAAAAATTTAAAATATTTAACCAACCAAATTTGAAAGGTAGTGCCTATTAGACTGAAACAATGGTGAGCAGACTTAGCTGGTATGGGCACACAATGAGAAGGCCCGTGAACTATATAGGAAATAAGGTTGAGAGTTTGGAAATGATGGGCAAACGTAAAAGAGGAAGGCCAAAATTTCAATAGGCCCACAAAAGTTAGAACTAATAAGAAAAAGTATACATTAGATAAAAAGAGATAGCATGAATAACATAAAATGGAGAGAGATGTTGAAGGAGCTTACCACCAGAAAAGGTGAAAGCTAAAAAGAAAAAAAATAATTAATATTCCAAATACCAATACTTCAATAAATAACTGTGCAGATATAGTAATCCTAAAATTCCTTCTCTCAACCTCACTGGATTTTCCATCCTAGGCATGTCATTTCTAGTCACTTCTTATCAAAAAAAACTGTCACAATAATTTCTTGTCTCTTCACTAGCAAATGGCGAAAAATAGAAATAAGTTGCAAAAAAATATAAATAATATGTTACTCGAGTTTATTTTTCAATGGGGTTTTAAAGAATGTTCCCGAAATTTCTAAAAAAAAAAAGAATTTGTAAAGCGCTTACGCAATCTATCAGTTTCATCTAGGATTTCGCCTTGGATGATTTCTTCGATCACGTCTTCCAACGTAACCAGTCCCGTAATTTCGTAATAGGGGTCCTTTTCCGGTTGGGCTATTATTTTCCTGACAAAAGCCATATGGGAACTACCTATTCGAAATTTATTTTTTATTTTTTTTAAATCTTAATACTCTCCTAAATAATAATAAAGTTGAAGATCACTTTAAATTTTTATAAGCTTATTTATATTTCTTAGGGTTAGGGTTAGGAGTTCTAATTGATTGATAAATTTAATTTTAGAATATAAATTTTATATACTTGTGTTTAGTGTTATTAAATGGCTCAATTTGAGCCGATTTTTAAAAACGGCTAACTCAATATTTTAGCCAGAAAAATATTGCCTAAGCTCGAGATTTCACTAATAGAAGGACAAAGATTTGTGCTATCTATAAGCAATACCTTTAGGCTTGTGTAATATTTTTTTGGATAAACACAACTTGTGTTAATATTGAATTTGATTTTTTGCTATATTAATAAAACTCCTTTTGATAAAAAAAATAATTTCCACATTGCTTAAATTTAAAGATATTATAAAAGAGAATTTCTATAATTATTTTAAATTTAATCAGTTTATATAAAAATATTTGTTAAATTAAAATAATCAAATATTGTTAACATTAAAATAATTTTTTTTAAATTATAAACGTATATTAAAAAATTAATTTTCAGCAACAGTTTGTTTATAAATTTTTCACAGCAAAACGGGTATTTAATATAACGCAACGTTTTCTTGGGGACTTATTTTCCTTCAGGGCATATTATATATTTTTTTAATTTTTTAAAAAAATCATGATTTTTTCCAACCCTAACCTAATAATACGAAAACTAACTTTGTATTTATTTTCTTTCCAATTTTATTCTTATTATTTTCTTTCAAAATTCTATTCTTTTATTGGTATACCTTTCTTGAATTCTTCTAGTATAGCACCGAGAGAGGTATCCTCGAACACGTAAGCCACGGCATGGTCATAAAAATCTAAAACCGTTTTAAGGGGGATTTTGTCGTCGGGATCCACAAATGCCAAGTCCTTCACGTTCAGCACGCCGACTATATTTTTTCGGTCGCCGTTTTTAAAAACTGGTATTCGGGTGTAACCGGAACCTACAATATCGGAAAGCGTGGCAAAGTCCAGGTAAGAATCGTAGGCCACCTGGTTACGCGAGATTGAAGGGGAAAAAGAAAAATGTTATTCATTTTAAAAATAGGGGGGGGGGGGCAGCTGACGCACAATAACTTCAGTGAATTCTTTGATATAGGTTAGAGATTGAGTGATATCTAATTAAGGGAAATATTGTTGTACCTCAAACTTTTCCCATTCAAATAAATAGCTATCATATTTAATCTTTCTAAATAACTCATAACTAAATTCAAATATACACATATTAAATTTACAATAATTTTATCTTTCAGATTTTATCAAAAAATTAATAAATTCCTTTTGATTTATAATAAAAATAAAAATTAAGTGAACAGGAGAGTCCTAGTTCAAAATATTTGTTAGAATAGAGCATTATTTACAGAAAAGTACTTTTGGGGGGTTTTTATAGTTTTTGACATAATACGATGATATCATATAAAAAAAAAGCTAAAAGGTGTATTTATTTTTGTTTTTTTTTGTCTATAAATCATATTTTAGAGGGCCATTTAGAATTCTATAAAGAAAAAAAAAGCTAGCATAATCTCTTTTCATTACCCTATGCTTTTTTTAAAGAAGCATGTTTTACTTGGGTTCCCAAAAAAATACGAAATAATAAAAGAAACACATAGATCATTCTAATATTCAAGCAATGAGAAATAATAATAATATGAATATATATACCATGTATATGTCTCGAACGGGAGTCATGATTTGCTCAACCGTTTTATTCTTCATGACTAGGGCGCCTGTTATGATGTCCACTTCTTCTTTGCCCAGCACGTTTCCCCCGAAATCGGCGGAGGAAAGTTTGACGAGTTCTATTAACCGCTGACGGTCATACACGCTGCCTATATCCTCCCCCAGAACTTTGTCGAGCACGAGAGAGATGGGATACGCCAAGGGCGCGGTCAGGACCATGAAGAATTTCGTGATCCACACAGTCTTGGCTCCTATCTCAAGCCCGTACCTTTGGTGGATGTGCGAACATAAATAAAAAAATTCAGATCTTAATTTAGTTACTTTAGTATATAAGAATTAATTTCCCTCGAGGATCTGTTTCGGAAATTAAGATTCCCAATGGGAATTACCAGAGGATTAAAAAAAAATACAAAAATGGGGTACCTTCTGGTATGAGATCTTGTCGAGCCCTGGGTAAGAGTTTCCGCATTAAACTACCCTTTTCTTGCTCTCTCCTTACCCTGCATTAGTTAGCGCATATTCGTGCCGAAGTATAAATACAGCATATTTTATATACTACGCAAGAATTCGCCCTAACTGATGCAGGGTTCTCCGAAACTTGGTGAATTTCAATATACGGCATTATATAATATATTTAAAAATTACCCTGTATAAATTTACAAATTTTATTGTAACTAAGGAACGCTCTGGTATATAGCCTTTAGGCCTTTTCCTAACATTAGTAGTTATATCGTCGGTCTAGAATCGGAGTGCTCCACTCAACATTTTCAAAATTTTTGAGTTAGAAGTGGATAATTTATTTATTCCCAATATATATATGAAAATAAAAATTATATTAAAAAAAATTATTAATTTTCGCCAAAATTATTGACAAATAATATTTGCCTATATTTTATTTTAAACTTTAATGTTGATTTTTTTCCTATAAACATTCAAAATTTTTGAGTTACAAAGTGGATAATAACTTATTTATTCACAATATACTGTATAAAAATAAAAACTTGATTAAAAAAATATTAATTTTCGCCAAAGTTATAGCTCTGAAAATTGATCAAATAAGCTTTTATTTGATTTTAAACTTTAATGTTGATTTTCTCATTTTAAACATTTGCGCAAGTGGAGCACTCCAATTCTAGGCCGACGATTATATTTAGCTTAACAAAAAAAAATAGTAGAATCCCATGGAACTTTTAGGTAAGTAAACACGCGAAATCCAATATAGTAATTTTTTTTGACCTCGCGCTAAATTTAGTTTGTATCGTGTTTTTTTTTAAACTTGGGGAAAATTCTTAAAAGATACTTTTTAAATGGATCTAGATACATATACCACATTCTTATATCAAGATACTTTAACAGCTCTGATAAATAAATATCTAAATGAAATTTATGAAACTTGGCGCAAACGGCTTGAGGTATAATCTCCCCGAACAGCGTTATCCCGATGGTGGAAACGAGTACGGCTATTTTGCCCGAAGATAGGTTTTCGACCAGTATGGTAAGGGTAGAGTTAACCAAAACGTTACCGAACACGAGAGTGCAGAGCAGAAAATTACCGCGCTTGCGCAATGGAGCGATCTTTACTGCGCATCTTTTTTTTTAAATATAATTTTTATATATAAGAATGATAAAAAAAATTTATTATTCAGTCTTTATATTGTGGTCCAACTGTTAATAATATTCGATAATTTCCTAGTGGACATATGTTATACTTGTATTTTATTTACTTTTTAGTGTAGCGGAAAATTATATCGTATTTTTTTCCCCGCCATGGTATACAAATCGTATACGTGCATTATTATTTTTAATCACGAAATAATAATATAGTGGAAACCGGGGCATAACGGTAATCGGGGTAACAAGGCCCATAAATTTTTAACCATTTTGAGCTAAATAGCTCGAATTTGGTCAGAAAATATATTTTGATAGATAGTTTCTGCCGTATGTTTTAACTAAATTTGGATGATTAGCAATTCAAGAGATATTGGTTTAAAAAAAACATGGTTTTTAAGCCTTTTTCTTCGATATTTTCTAAATAAAAATATAATAATTTAAATTTTTTAAGAGAGATTCTGCATTGACTATTCTAGTATTAAAAATAGCTTAGAGTTTTTACCTTCACCCATAAATAGAGTTTAAAGTAATCTAGGTAAATGTAGAGACACAGGGTCAAATATCAAATGGATAAATTTGTAATTAAATTTGTTAATTTTAAACATTCATTATTTATGCGTCATTACAAACATTAGGATAACATATTTTTTAGAAAAAAAAACTAAAAAATAAAATATCAAATTTATTCTGGATTAAAAAATAAGATTAATGGCAAACAGCCGACAAACCTCATCATAATCAACTATTCACACTCGGGACATTTTTATTATGTGATCGTCATTTAGTGTAAAATATAAGCTAAAATATCACTGAAGTTGGGAGATTTCTGTTACCGGTGGAAGAGCATGCTAGTCGAGGATTGCGAAGCTTAAGCTCAACATTCGCATAAATCTCTTGAGATTATTGGTCAATATTATCTCTTAGCGAAATAAAAAATCGCCTATCCTTTTGAATCTAATAATGTATCAAGCTTCGGATAAATAATTGGTTCAGTCCATTCCGATATTTCTCCAAAGGCACTTCAAAATTGACTCTTCTAGATCCAAAAATGCTCTAACAGTTTGATGTTGAAGGTTTTCATCGTGCCGGGCACATGTTTTTTGCACTTTTTTTGTTCTTGTAGCACAAGAAGTCTTAAAAATAATTATATTCAACAAATTCTTGTCAATAATCACTAACTTCCTTCCCTAAAAATCTTCGTTTTATATTAAATAATATTTCTTAATTAGGTTTTTTGGCTTACATCCATATCAGTGTTTAAGGTTCAAACAGATATAAGAAGATGTGCTTCAAAATTATCGTGAGAAATAAATATATATGTCGTATGGGGATTCGGAATCTCTTGAATTTAAATCCTTTACCGAGGGCGATTTAAAAAAATTTAAAATCTCATTTAACCGAAAATGTATTCTAGCATGTGTAGTGTATTTACCCTATAAATTTCAGCCAATTTTGCCATGAACTTTAGAACTACTTCTAATTATTATTATTTTTGAATACTAAAATGTCTACGGGTGAAATTGGCTGAAATTTATAGGGTAAATACTCTACACATGCTAGAATACATTTCGGTTAAATCGGATTTTAAAATTTTTTAAATGGCCCAAGAGATTACGAATCCCCACAAAACAAATTATTGATACAAAAAGGTGGAAAATATAAAAATTAATTTAACTTTTTTTGCTAAAAATTAAGATAAGAATATATAACCTATTCCAAACAAAGTACCTCGCATTTCACAATTCTTGCAACTTTTTACAATTTTTTGAAAAATCTTTGCTACCAGAAGAGGGATTACCTTTCCCCCTCGCCAGCTGTCTACGCGCCTGGGTAGGGTTAATATGTATCGTTTGAAAAAAAATGTTTCTGAACGATGTTTAGCATATCGCTATATATAATATATGTTGAACAACGCTATTATATCCCTACCCCTGAATATACATTAATATATAAATTAGTAAAATTGAATGAATAAAACTGCTTGGAGATGTTTAAACAAAGCCGTAAGGTTAAATTAGTTAAATTTCGTAATACATATTCAAATCGAAAATTTATCGATTTGTTTATTTCAATTAAGCTCTTTTTCCTAAAATCCAATGATTCGCATATTCACCTCCTATCTCTTAATCTTTTTTAAATTGCTATTATTTTATATATATATATATATGAATATTTTTTTTTAAAAAAAATAGGATTTTCTATCGTGCAAAATTATTTAATCAGGCTTACAAAGTCATGTAAGACTAAGAACATCCGGAGATAGGAGGGAAAGGGGGGGGGGGCAAGAGTTCGTATCTCGTTTAAAAAGATAGACCAAACACTCGGGTGATATTTTTTTAAAAAAACGATGGGATAATATATGTGGGAGAGACTGGGGCAGCTAGAGACCAAAGGGAAACATAGATCATCTATTCTAAAACGAGCGCTAATTGTGAATGCGTAGTAACATCGGCTCGTATCGAGAAAATCAAAAAAAAAAATTATGTTCGATTAATTTTTATCTGGATTTAGGACTAATAAGATTAAGTATATCTTATGATATATCAAATGAACGCTTGAACTCTATCACATGTGTGAGTTTTATATCATATAAGATTTTCTATTAAATTTTCTTTGTATCATAATTTATCGCGACTAATCACTAAGGGTTCGCCAGACCGGGGTACGTAAGATTAAAATATTTATACAAAGTTAAAGCATATTTGATCATAAAATTTAAGATTTTTAATTTTCCGTAACATTTATTTATAAAAGAGCAAATTATTATTAAAAATAAATTTTTTTATATGATTCTCCTATGTACGGTCCATTGTACCCCATTACTTGGTCTAATGTGCCCTCGTTTTTAACTTGAAAAATCAATATAAATTATAAAATTGAACTTACATAAAAAAATTACGAATGTTTAAGTTAGCTGGCAATATTTATTGTTAATATTGAAAAATATTATAAGAACCGGTATTCCTTGTATATCATTAAATTTATATTTAATGGCTTAATCAACTGTTTATCGCGACATACCTTTTTTCGTTGGCTGTTCCGCTGTTGGCAAGCAAGCGTAGCTCCGTGCGGTCCAAACTCATGAGACCCAAATTTAAACCGGAGAAAAGACCCGACAGGGCGAAAAGACAAAAGACGAGGGTCAGTTCGAGCCACAAGGGGAGCAGGTAACGAGATTTGACGGGGTACGTCCGAGCGTTAAACCACTGGCTCTGGACTCGAGTAGCGGCGAAGCGCCATCTGGAAGTCTGGGAGGGTCGGTAGCAGAGGGCGTACGCCGAATCGGATAGAGGGAGAGTTATGTCAAAGAGTAGGTGATCGACATGAGTAGGAAAATTATTACTGGAAAATTCGTAGGGAAGGAAAGTCGAATCGGGAGCACTGACCACCTTTCCGGCCCGCAATTTGGAGGTGGCAAGGGCGATGGGGTTGGGGGATTTAATTTGACTGGGGTTCAACGGTTTGAATATTTCAGTCACTATGTGATCTTCGCAAGATGAAGGGTAAGTGGGTACATAAGTGAGATTCTGATCTTAAAAAATTAATAATTGAAATGATGTGGGGGAATAAGGATAAGAAAAATGGTATTAAAAGGAGGGGAAAAAAGATATGGAATTGATCGAACAAGCAAGAGCGAAAGGGGAGAGTGATAAAACACTTGTCCATAAATTCGCGAATCAACGCACAGGAAATCTTACGGAGAATGAAGTGCGGTATAAGAGATAGTATGTAACATTCTTAAGAGGGAAGAGGGCCGGAAATTTAAAACGAAAACGTTAATATTAAGATCAAGAGCGAAAATTAACAATTATAACATTTCTGGGGAAACGCTAAAAAGTGGCGAAACATTATAAATGCAAATGCTAACTGTAAACAGGACCTTTTACCTTGATTGTTAGAATTATTGGCATTAGTGCTTTTATCCGAAACTCCATTTATTTTATTATTGACTTTTCCCTTCATTGCATTCCCGCCTTTGGATCCCAAAACACTCTGAATTCTAGCAAAGGCTATCCGAAAACCGGTGTATTCACTCGGGTATGGTAAGCCTGTACCGGTTATTCGTAATCGGGTTTCTAATCCGGCAAATAATGGAATCGGGTCGACAGGAATATCCGGTCCTTCGCAAACACCCTCGTGACAATCGTAAGCGAAAAGGGTCGTTCTGCTCAGCCCGGTAATAATTGTGGGAAAGGATTGGTTATTATATTTGAGCTATTGATACAAAAGAGTTATAAAAAAATATAACTTAATAAAGTCCTACCCATCTGTTCATAGTCCAATATCTAGATTAGCCGAATGATATTCTATAGGACTCGGTTTGGCGGTACATTAATTTTAAAATATTCAGTTGTACCCGAGCTGGATAAAAAATCAATTTTCTCATGCCAATATTTTTCTTTTTGGAAACGGATATATTTTTACGATAAGAGTTAGCTTCAAATCGGTTCGGACCCGAAATAAAATATCCGATGCGTGGTTCTATTATTAATTTAAATATTTTATGGATTCTGTGGATGCTTGGAACTAGAAGATCGATAATTTTTTTATCTTTATCTATGAAGCGTTCCTTTGATTCCAAACACCAATGACCTATAGAAGGTAAATACTCTTAATGACCGATAGAATGTAAACACTCTTGACCAATAGAATCTAAGCACCTCTGACCAATAAAAATTTATAATATTTTATACAAGCACCTAAGCCAAAAAAAAAGGTGCGGGTGCTATTAATATTTATAATTTTGCGTTTGGTATAATCGGTCAGGCGGAGTATTTCCATTGTATTTTTTTTTATTATAATAATATTTTATAAAAATTTCCTTATAACCATTTAAGCGACCATTTTAGATTTTAAGTATATAAAATAATGTATCGTTCGTAGCTCGTCAAAACCATCTGTTTTTTAAATGGGATTTCGCGCGCAAAAAAATATGAATAAGAAAATTGATTTTTTTAAAAAAAAATACAAATACGTACCGAATTAGGAATAAGAGGTTTTATTTGTCTCGTCACCCGACGACCAATGTCAGGAGTGGATCGATGAAATATGAGAGAAACGACGAGGAGTGTTAGGAAGAACTGAAAGCATTTCGCGGTCACCAATTTGTGATCGACGTAAACGGTTCTAACGTTGATTTGTGAATATGGCGGTAAATCACCCTGGGGCATTAAATTCAGAAGAAAATTCTTCGGGGCTATCCTTTGGTTAAGATCGTATTGCACGGCTAACGCCCATACAGTCAATAGAGTCTATCCTATCTTAGAAAAATCATCCTCTCCTTTTTTTAGTGGTTATTCCTTCCCCCCAAAAATTGGTATAATATAACGATTTCCTTTATAAAAGGGAATTATCGCGAAAAATCCCGAATCTATAAAGAAAAGAATTGTTTGTTCGCGAACTTCTTCTTGATTTTCATTTTTCAATTATAAAAATAACAAAAACTTATTTGACCTTTCACAGTTGTTGCAAACAGTTTTAGCGGCAAAATTTCCTTTTTGTAATAACAATAAAATAAAAAATGTCAATCAAATGATATATAATTATAAATTTCCTTATATTTTTTTCATCTCATTCCTAATTGAATGGAAATAGAAAAAGTGTATATTTTTTTATAAAAGGTTAAAAAGGAATTTTAATCAGTTTATACGAGTCATTATTCTTTGTCAAATAATTGGGTTTGACAAAAAAATAAATTTGACAAAAATTAGTTAGCTTTTATTTACGTGTACGATTGGCGGGAAGGAGAGAAAATGGCTTCCAAAAATAATATTTTTCGAAAAATACAAAACTAAAACAATTCATAAAGTTTTGCACTTTTTATTTTTAGAAAGAAAAAAAATGCATATTGATTTTGAATAAGGAAAAGATATCGATTTCGAAGTAAATTAGATTTTTTTATTATTATTTGTAAAAATGAATTTGAAGTTAAAAAAAATTCAATTTTAATTTATATATTTTTAATTTAAAAAAAAAAAAAATTATGATGAGATATTTGAAAAAAAAAATATTCTACTATATATATATATAAGATATCCGCAGGCCCGGATATTCAGCCCGAGTATCGGGCCGGGTTCAGACTAAAAAAATAGAATTGTCTAATAGTGCGCACAAATTGAGCGTTTATGTTATGCCGTAATTTTTAAAAGATGAAAAACGTAACGTGTCTCTTGTTTAAATTAGTCTTTTTATTAATATCATCGATTCAAAATTTAATACAAGTTCTAAAAAATAAAGGTTTTTGAAAATAATATTATCGTCTGCGTTCTTATTTCTTTAATTTCTAAGTAATTCCTTTTTAGGATAAATAAGATAAGTAAGTTATTTATATTACATTTTATAAAATATTATAAAACGAAAAATAAAAAGAGTAAACGTGTTTGCGTTTTTTTAAATGGTTGCTAACGCCAAACGGTAATTTTACCATTTTAACAGTTTGCACGAGGCCATTTGAAAGGTATTATAAGCGGTCCCGGGTTTCAAAATAAAGACGCGGGCCGGGTTTGAAACAGAAAATATAAAAACCGGGCTGGACCTAAGAATTAGTGATCTGCATCGGACCTAATTTTTCAAGCCAGTCACGGCCCGAAATTTTTTTTAAAAAATTTTGCCGACCCGGCCCTATTTTATTTAAATAGAGAAATTAATTTTTTAATTACTCAAAATAAAAGACATATGTATGTTATATGGCGTCTAGTCAGTGGGGTAGCCATGATTTTATCATGTGGGAGGGGGGCTTAGCCTGCTTATATTTTTGGATTTGTTAAAATTGTTTTATATTTTCATATAACAAAATTTTAGGGTATTTTATTATATATTTTATTCCTTTATTTTAACATGTATATATTTTTATTAATTTAAATATTTTTAAAATGTTGATATTTTATATAATACAGATTTTAATATTAAAAATTAATAATGTATAAAGACTCTATTTAAAAAAAAGTAATTTTTTACAATTATATAAGTAGATGGATGTATCAATATTTGATCGATTGGATTGTCTAGAGACTACTCTAGGTTTAAAAATTTCAATTCCAAACATATTAGCAATCTCCTTTACTTTTTCATATATTTCATGAAATTTTTCATCCACATTCTCTCTGATATTTGTTAATATTTCAACAATATTCTTTGCTCTATTCATAATCTCCCTTAAATCTAAATCAATTTTTTGTAGCATTTTGCTAAAATCATATGTATAATTAAATAAAAACACATTGAATTGAAATTAAAAACTGTGGCTTAATAATAGCCTGCAAAAGATTTTCGGCATCTGCTGAATCTTTTTCCTTGCTTGATGATTGTTTTTTCATATTGAAAATGAGAAATATAAATTTTTATATTATAGAATATGACAAACTAGACAACTTTTCTGAAATGCAAAATAATATAAAATTTTTTTAATAAATATAAAAATAATCAAATGTGTATATCTATTATTATTTATAATATATTTAAAACATAAAAATCGGCGTTTATTAAGAATTTATTAAATTAAAATTAAAAAATTTTAATAAATCCATTTTTCATGGGGGGGGGGGGGGGGGGGGGGGGTTGAACCCCAAACCCTCCCCCCATGCCTACGCCATGCGTCTAGTTTTATAAATAAAACAAATATTTTTATTTTACATTAAAAATTCAATATAAAATTGATAAATCTAAATATATTTTAAAAAATTTCCAAAGCCCGAACCGGTTACCCGGCCCGATTTTTTTAAAAAATATTAGGCCCGACCCGGCCTGAGCCCAATTTTTTTTTTTAAATTAGGCCCGAGCACGGCCTGGTCCAATACCTCTTATAAACATCTCTAATATATTTCAGGAGGTTTTTTTCAATTTCGTTTTATCGCGGGAGCGATATTTTAATGTACTACCTAGCAACTGGTACATAAACGAATTACCGAATAATTTATGATTCGTATTCAATTCTTTTGAACAAATCGAACACGAATATATTCGATACGTTCAAAAGAAACCGATAGAAATAACTTATTATTCGATCCATACTTGTTTTTGAATAAAGCAAGAACCTAACTTACTTGTTCTCAAGTATATAATTAGTAATAATTTGCAAATTTGCTCGCAAAACAATTTTAGTAAATAAAAACTAAGGAAGTGAGTGAATGATTGACATGATGATGACAAATGGATTCTTTTTCATTTTTATATAATAAAAAAGGTAACAATAAAAAATGAGGGTAATTTCTCATCTCGGGGCAAAAGAAAAATTAAAAATACAAAAAAAAGAGGAAATTTGCAATTTTTTATGATAGGGATATTATCTTTCATTTTGATACGCTTCGTTTGATTATTAGAAAGTCCTATCTGTCCCAATTTCATTCATCAAATGCGAATTTATTGAGATCTAATCTGAATTTTTCCCCCCTTTCAATCTCCCCAAATTTTAGGTGATAAATTTTTTTTTCTTCTTCAAATTGCCGATCTCCAGTTAAAATGGCAAAAAAAAAAGAAACGTGGTTAAATCAACCCTTTATTGATCTTCCCCCCCTCCTCTCATGATGCAATATCGCTCTTATTTGAGCGAATTTTTTAAAATGGCTAACTCAGTATTTTACCTAGAAAACATATTGCGCATGCCTGAAAATTTTGTGTTCATAGATGGCACAAAGGTTTGGACAACTATTAGCCAAATCTCGAGGCTTAGTCAACATTTTTCTGGTTAAAATATTGAGTTAGCCGTTTTTAAAAATCGGCTCAAACGGAGAGATTTTGTATCACTTACCCTTCAAACATTCGATCATTTAATTATAATTTTAAATTTTTATAAACTTTTAAATAAATAGGATTTGGTTGGTAATATTTTCTAATATTTTTTCTTCGATAGGTAAGGTTAAGTCGAACCATATTATATATATACAAGAGACAATGTGTTTTTTCCGACAATGTGTTACTTTCCCAACTTTCATTCATCATTTGAGTGCGTTTTTTTAAATTTTAAAAGTATAATTTTATCAAAAAAAATGTATTCCAGCATGTCTAGAAAACCTTCATTAAGAATTATAGATAATTTTACCGTTAACTTTAGAGTCATTTATAATTTATGCGAAAAATCTATGAAAAAAACTAATATAAATTAAATTGAGCTAAAAAGTTCATGACAAAATTGTCTGAAATTCGTAGGATAGGTATTCCAAACATAATTGAAATTTCCAGTAGAGATCTGCAAAGTTAGGCTCGGCCCAAACGGGCTTCGGGCCGGGCTCGGGCCTAATTTTATTTAAAATAATCAGGTCAAGAGAATTTATAATTTTTTTTAAAAAAAATGAGAAGGAAGGAAGGAAGGAAGGAAAAAAAAGAAAAAAAGAAAGTGGGCCGGGCCTAATATTTTTAAAAAAAATTCGGGCCGGGTCAGGTCAGACCTTGGAAATTTTATTAAATATATCTAAATTTATCAAAGGCCAGATGCAGATCACTAATTTCCAGTAATATCAAATTTTTAAATTAAAAAAACGCGTTCAAATGAAGATTAAAAGTTGGAAAAATAACACATTTCCGCTAACACATATATAGGACTATTCGAAACCGAATATGAATCGAATAACGAATTATTCAAAACCGAATAATGAGTTTTTCCTATTCGTTCTTGAATACGCCTAATACTTAAATTGGATAAATTTTTACGAGAAATATTTTCACCTAGCATAATATGCAAACGAGCCACTCGGAGGACTTTTGAATGAATCTAAACCGATGTTCGGAACATAGACAAATCTGAAAACCAAGGCCTAGATTGGAAACCCCACTTTCTTAAAATTTCTGGAACCCGGAAATCCATTTTTTAAAATTTCTGGAAACAAGAAATTCATTTTTAAAATTATGCCAACCGGAAACGCATGATACCGGTTAAAATGTTATGATTCATTTTAGAGGGTTTTTTTAAAAAAAAAATTTATCATACCATTTTTACAGCCCATTCAGGTTCAGGCCCCATGGGTCTCTGATAGTTCCTTCAACGCGTATTAACATTTGCGATGATGACTTTTCCCGATAAATATTGGACCAAAATAACCACGAACAAAAAAAGGCATTGGACAAAATAAGATAGCCCGGTAATAATAATATAAAAATATATCCAGATAATAATTAATACACCCAGATTATTTATTTTCCTAAGCAGATTATCCATACCCCGACAATTTTAAATCTCTATTCTAAACATTTTGACAAGAAGAAAGATAAGAAAATTGTTTGCGTCTTTTTTTGCTAATTTGTCAGCATTAGAACTTCAAACGGAAACTCGAATGAGAAATTGGTCACCCTGCGAACCGGTTAAATTATAAGAACAGTAATTAAACTATTCTCTTAAAATTTAGGGAAAAGGGAAGGAGCCCCCCTTATAAAAATTTACAGGACCAGTCGCGGTGTTTATACAAAAAGTATACAACTACATTATTATAGGTTATATCGTCGACTTAGTATTAAAGTGTTCTATCTTTTTTTTAAAAAAATTTTTCACGATAGCATTCTTTAAATAGATAGGTGATAAACGCTATAATAAAATGTAAATATAAAAGGTTATTTTAAATTATATTGGGTCAAATACAAGAAGAAAAAAACTGAGCCGGAACTAGAATTTCATCCTAGTCTCAAACTTTAGTATTAGTGATTCCAACTCAAGGAAATTGCCGCTACAACAGCTGATTTATTGAAATTTCGATTCATCTATTTACAATCATGTGATCTGTCCGATTTGACAAGATTATTTAGTAAAAATTAATTTTGTAAAAACCCCATTTTACATTTATCTTTAAACTTAACCCATTATCAAATTTTTACCTTTAATCCTACCATTACTTCAAGTAAGATGGTTGTTTAATATTAAATATATCTTATCTAATTAAAAAGGTTCCTTAAGTTGAATATTCCATGAGTTGAGCTATTATCGTATAAAAAGGTGTAAAAGGATCAAAAAATTTTTTATATTATATTAAATTTTTTATAGCATTATACATAGTAAGTCTGTGACATATTGACTTAAAAAATAATTATAAAATAACATTATACATATCGATATTATTATTTATCTATTAATATAATTATCAATTTTTTTTTATCAAGTTTACCAATAATTTTATAATCGATAATATCTTTAAAAAAACATTTTAAAACGAAATAAAAAAATATATAATTTCATTGATTTCGAGTGACATCATATAAATAAGAAAATATTGATTGTTGTGGTTTTTTTTTTAAAAAAAATTGGCATTATTAAATGGGGAAATTTGTAAAAAATAAAAAAAAATTTTCATAATCCTATTCCAAATATACGATTAGTCTCGGGGCAGGACTTGCTGGAAACAGAATTTTGATAATAGAAGCTTAATCGATACTCATTTCCTTAAAAAGGGGTCTGTCTTAACCTGCCCAGGTCCGAAGAGACTAAGGGTTTGATGGGTACTTTGAATTTGCTTTAACAATTTTAACGAAAAATTGCTTGTTTTCAAAGACCTGTAGACCCCACTCGAATTGCCGCCCTGTAAAGAGATATAATTTTAAAAATACTGTATCTAGACAAAAAAAATTAAATGAGTGGGGGGAGTTGAAAATTGGGGAGAGGGGGGATTAAATGTGAGTCGGTGTCCCGTCAAAAAAAAAAGAAAACTATTTTCGAATGAATGGCAGTCATCTTTAAATCTGCATTCATTCACGTTCAAATCTACCTATTTTGGAATGAGAATTCATTTTTTGAAGCGATAAGTTTGGGAAAAAAAATTGTATGGGGGCCACCATTTTGTAATTATATTTGAAACTAAATGAATGGATAAATTTTGTAAAAGTATGGGAGCTATTTTTTAAAAAAAGGATAAATAGGGAGTGTTTGGTAAATAATTCTGCTTAGATGACGTGATATTATTTTTGATGCTTTATTTCGATACATTTTTTTGATTAGCATATTTCTCTTTGTAACTTTTTTTGATTTTTTTATTTTCAATTTTATGAACATCGTTTTGAATTGTTTTATTTTATTATTTTTTTAATGGCAATATTTATAAAAAAATAAAATAATTATAATTAAATGGAGTTCAGCCCGGCTCCCGATAAAAAATTTTTTACATAGATTTTGTTCAGAAACCTATGATTCTCAATCCCTGAAGGCAAAAGATTGCAACGATTGAACACCAAAGTGTATATTCGTGAATGATAAATTAATTTTTAAAAAATACAGCTGCCTAATTAATTAATTAATTGTAAGAGAGGATCGGGAAGGTATGAACGATCTTTAATCCAAAAATATATTTTTAGATCAACTATAGGAAGTGCAATTAATCTTTCATTTTCTAAATTAAGATTTATCAATATGACGGTATTCATTTTTACTGAATAAGAAGTTTAATTGTTAAATTTTTCCTATTCGAAATAAATGATTTTTTGACTCCGTTTCTACTATAAGTTTTTATTTCATATTTAAGATGAAAATCCCAGGCTTTTCCTTGCTGTAATTGGAGCTAAAATGTCGATGAATTCAAATAATTTTAAAAAATTAAAAATTCTTTGAAACTTTTTATCGATTAGGTTATTTAAAATTCCAATGATTTCAATTGATATTCATTTTTAAAATTCATCATCGCAAAAAATAACTATCTTTAATTCTGGTTTGGTTTTCAAGCTTGTAAAAATTTATTTAAATTATATCAATATATATTTGGTAGGAAATTTTGATTTTTTTTTCAAATTTTGTCAATTTTTATTTTAAATTTTAATTAATTATTATTTTTAAAAGAAAATGGGTGGTTTGATGATTTTTAAATGAAAATGAATGTATAATTTTTTTAAAAGAAAATTTAATTTTTATTTAATATATATAATGCATTTTTTCTTTTAGCATCTCTATATTAATCCTATGTTTATTTTTTTTAATTTAAATTTACATAGTAAAAATAAAATAGTATTTTTTTTAAATATAATATATAAATTAAATAGTTTTACTTATAATTGATAACTTTTTTGGAAAAATTGCCATGCAAATATTTATTTTCTTACTTCTATTAATGCTTCATCACTTAAATATAGATTTATATTATTCTAATATTTAATTCATAATGACAATATTTAATTTTAAAATTACAATAAAAAAATTGATTATAATTTTTATAATTAAATTAATGTTTGAATACAATAAGCTTCACTCATATTTACCATTTCATTAATATTGACCTATGTTTTAACACAAAAGCAATTATATTAATTTTTAATTATCTTCAACATGAATTATATTTTTAAATGATTATATTTATCTAGTATTTAAAGAACAATTAAAATTAAAGTTATTAAATTAAATTGGAAAATTACTATATATTTATAAAAATTGCTGATAAACTAATTAGGAAAAATTTATTTGCAGGTGTTCTAGCATATGACAAGTTTTATCCTAATGGGACTCATGTTTGAGGATTGACCTGGAACATTAGTATTCATCATAGCCTGTCATAAATCTATCAGTGTGCTTGCAAATTGAGTTTTTGCAGTACATTTGTAATTTTAAAAATGGTAACATATCCCTTGCTTAAATTGAAGTGTGATTATAATTTTGTCATCCATATATCCTAAGATCACTATATTGTAAATTTTTAATATTATCAATTAAAATAATAAATAATATATTTACCCATTTCATATCCATTTTAGAATTTTGGCACAAAATAAATATAAAAAAATATAGAAAAAGTAAACCAGTTTGTTTTTATAAATTATTTTGAATGCTTGCCATTAACAATTTACCCAACCATTTAAAATACATTATTTGATTTAGCAAATGCTACATTCCAATTTGTTCACATTATGTAACATCACTATGTGGTGATAAATAATAAATTCAGAATAATAGTATTTACAAAATAAATTCCTTTCATAACTAAATTTAAATTTCTTAACTAGGAGGAGAACAGTGGTAAGTCCCCTTAACACATATCAGATAAGTCCCAGAAAAAAACTAGTCATATCTTGAAACATCAAGAAACAAATTTTTCAATATGTCTTATATAAGTTATATTTATAATTTTTGTATATTATGTTATTTTTACCTATGTTTTAACCTAAAAACAATTATATTTATTTATAAATTCTTTTTATCTAGATTTTTTTTTTAAATGCAATTATATTTAGCTAGCATTTTAAAAAACAACATACATTATAACTTATAATTATTAAATTAAATTGGAAGATTATTATGAATTCGTTAATAAATTTTTGATAAACTAATATAATTGTCATACATTCTAAAAAAATTTATTTAAAAATATTGCACTTAAGAATAAACCCAAATATAATAATTACTCGTGATAAATGGATTGGCAAGATCCAAGAAATAGCAAGTTCTGACTAGTTTTGAATATATTAGCATTGTTTTAAAAAAAATAATGATTATTTATTTAAAAAATATAGACTATCTATTTTTTAAAAAAATAAGGATTATTAATAAAGAAAATGTCTTTTTTAAAATTATTTTGTATAAAATATGTAAACACAAAAAAAATCATCTCTAGCTAAAAAAAAAAAATTAAATACTATCAATTGATTATATTTATTCTATTGTTGAAAGTAAACTTATCATTTTTAAAATATTTTTATTGATTTAAATAAATACTCTATTAAGAGAGTTCATACATATTTTTTTAAGATGCAAGTTTAATAGATTAATATTATAAATTAGATATATAGGTGTATTGATTTAAATCACATTATATAAAATAAATCATTAATAAAGCCTTAATCAGTGACAATAGTTTTAGTTTATAATCATAAAGTATATAATCTATCTCTAAATAAAATGTATATAAAATTAAAGTTCCATAATTATTGCAATATGTTCTTGCACAATTATTTTGTGATTTTAAATAACTCAAATAAATATAAATAATCACATGATAAATAAATTATTAATCAGGAATATTTATGTTCAAAACTCTAAAGTTTTAATTTGCTTATAAAACATAAATTTTACCTGCTTTTGATTATTTCATACTAAAATCATTATTTTTTAAAATATTTTGAAAATAATTAAGTACCATCACCCGAAAATAGAATAATTGACATTCGTATTTATTTTTAGATATATTTTTGATTATAAGTTTTTTAATAGATAATTATTATATATATTTTATTAATTGACATTGTCTATATATACAGAATAATGTAATATTGTCAAACATAATCAGATATTTAGTAAGTGACTATTTATAGATTGAACAACAAATGGCTTATTTAACTTTTTAAGCTCTCATTTTTACTTTCATTGTTAGCTTAATTCAGCTTTAAGTAACTTTGGAAAATTTATGGCTTTCGTAGATATCATTTTAAGCGAATAAATAATTTCCACATTATATTTCCCTCTAGCCCTTCAGCATAGAAAATTTTTTTTGGTACTTTTTATTTTGCATTTTGTGATATTTATAATTTATTAAAAATTTATCTTATTTTTTATAGCTCAAATTGTAATATATATTCTTCATATATATCATTATCACTTTTGATTAAAACTTTTGTACTTTATATTAATTATTCTCTTTTAAATTTTAAAATAATTGGGCTTTTGATCTCATTCATAAGTTGCTAAACAATGAATGATTTTTTTTGTTTTTTGACATGCCAAATCTGGATCTATTCATACTGTATAAATATATTTCAATAAATTTAATTAAGCGTTTTTATATATGCTTTAAAAATTCGGTTAAAATAAGCAATGATAAACAAATAGCTTATAATCTTGTGGGTAATGATCAAACGATGATCAATACACCAGTTGTAATATTGCATGGCCTTTTTGGTTCAAAACGGAATTGGAATAATGCTTCTCTATTATTGGCAAATAAGTGCAAAAGAAATGTATATACTTTGGATTTACCTAATCATGGTGACAGCTTTCATTCCCTGCAACCTATGAATATTTCTGAATATGCATCATCCATTGAAAATTTTATTATTAACAAAAATGGATTGAATTTGAAAAAATTCATATTGATAGGACATAGTTTGGGGGGAAAAATTGCAATGGAACTTGCCTTAAATCAAATTAAAGATGGTATTGTTGATAAACTTATAGTGTTGGATATTACTCCTATTTCTAAATCACAATTATCTAATGAGATAACAAATTACTTTGAGGTATTGGAATCTATCCATTTAGATAATTATTTAAAAAATAACAATATCAAGAAAGAGATAGAAGATATAATGAAAACTGCAGGCATAACTGATCCAGGAATTCGACAATTTTTATTAATGAATTTGTATTATAATAAAAACAAATCTAAGTATAAATGGAAATTCAATATCTCATCACTTAAACACAGTATTAAAGGTATGGATATTGTCAGCAATAATAGTTGTTTAGTTAAAACATTATTTATATATGGTGAAAAATCAAATTATGTTAATATAACTGATTTTGAATCAATATTTAAACATTTTCCAAATTGTCAAATTCAAAAACTAGACAATTCTGGCCATTGGTTACACATGGATCAGCCACAAGCTTTAATCAATATAATTGACACATTTATAAATTCTAAATAGGATAATTTTATTGAATAAAACTATTAATTCACTTATTTTATGTGTTCCTACATATTCAATCAAGTCTTAAACTTTTTATAAAGTTTAATTGAAAAAATTATTTATAATGAAGAAAAAGGTTTATTTCTCTAATTCATTACCTGAAGCTTCATAAGTATGACTAGAAAGTTGTGGACACTCTTTGGAAATATGTTTTCATTAATATCATTTTAAATTAACAAATTTCCTACACACCCCTCTACCTGCAAATTGATTACTATAAACAATTCAGAAGTGATAGCCCAAAAATATTTTTATAAAAAGATAGTACATCCAAAGGCATACTCTCTAATAAAATTTATGGGGAAAGCTACACCCAATAGTTCCCTCCCCCCTTTAATAGTAAAATCATTGCTTATTTGTTTTAAAAGATAAGTGCTAATAAATGGATGCATATTACCTAGATTTAATTAATAAATAATGTTATGTGTCTGTGTGCAGTGCTATAACGGAAATTCTTTAATCACATTACCTGTCAGATATTACAAGTTTTAATAAAAATGATTAAATCATATTAATAACCATTATAATTATATCTTACACTAACCTAATATTTCAAACCTTTAATTAACCCTAGCCCTGTTTAACTTTAAATATATTTCATCCAATTAAAAAAATTCCATGAGTATCAGATTTCTTGAGTTTGTTACATTTTTTGAGGAAAAGGATCGTTACTTGTTTTAAAAGGTAACTAATAACATTTTTCTTTTTTTTGGAGTAAGGGTAACTCAAAATGCTACTTGTTACTTTAAATTTTTCTCAAAAAATATAAAAAAAATATTTTTTAAAAAATTTTATAAATAATTTACGCCGAGTTATTAATTCAGATCACTCATCAAAGTTTTTATTTTATTTATTACATTTATTCAATTTTATACACTCGATAAGCCATTAAAATCATAGGTTCGGTTTATCCGGTGTAAATGGATGATAAAAATGAAAAATATTGAATACCAAGATTAAATACCATATTAATCAGACTAAAATATTAAAATGAAATATCTTATTTCACGAGAAATTAATAATATATTTTTAATTTTTTTTTCTCTTTTAAGGTAATATGACATTTAATTGATATGAACATTAAATCTCAATATTAATAGTAATTATTAAAACTTACACTAAAGATTTTAAATTAAAATCAGCCATCCCCACCCATAAAGTAATATAATTATTTTGTTGTTCTCGGGTATGGGCTTTGGTTTTGTTCAACTTTTTGGTATGCCTATAGACGTTTAATGTGCCTACAAGTACGTGTGACTTGCCCACAAGCAAGGGTTCCTCATTTTTCTCCCCTTAAATTAAATATCCAGTTTGATGGATTTTGAGAAAAGCTCTGTTGCATCCACAGCCAGAGGGCGAAAACGCTTTCATCACGTATCACGTAAAGAATGATCTCTCATTTCGTATATTTACCGACAAGAAGGCAACCAACCTCTTATTTTTATTGATTACACACTTCTTTCTAATTCCAAAATCATACCTGGATTTCCCTTATCTCCCCTTTATTTAATTGATGTCATTCTTAATCTCTTCGATGATGATATTATATTTTAGTAATCCTTATCCTGAAATTTTCACCACTAGCTCTTAGTATCATTGGAATTTCATCAATTTTTTTATTTAATTAGGACTAAAACCATACATATCCTTCTCTTTTAGTCCCTACCTTAACCAATATATTTTTAATCTATCTTACCCATATCTCTCTTTAATTTAATATCAACTAATCCTAGCATATTCCTCTAACCTTTTTGTACCAATCCTAATCCACATGTCTTTAACCTCTTTTCTACCCTAACATATATCGCTAACCTTTTTAATCCCTACACTAACCCATATCTATAACCACATTATTTATATCTCCATTTTAAGTTTAATATAAACTAACCCTAAACGATATCTATCTTACCTATAATTCTTATTTAATTCAGCCCATATATCTAACCTTTCGGTTCTTACTTTAATTCATATATTTTAAACGTTTTAATCCCTATACCTTTTTTCTAAGTTTCCTTCCAGTATAAGTTGGATTATCAAAATTTTCAAACTTCACAACGTGCTAATAACTTAAATGATAAAATAATTAAAAAATATTTTATTTCAATAATAAATATAAAATATTATTTTATATAGAAAATATAAAATTTATATTGCCCCCCCCCATCTCCTTTACACTTTTCTAAACGATATAAGCAAACAATCTAACTCATCCCTTGGACACCTTAATTAATCTCAGACCCCTGTTAGTTAACAAACTTTCCTATCAAGCCTTTTTCCTCCTAAAGAACTACTCACTATGAGATAAGTTTTCACTAATTCTTAAATATAGGGATCTCCTAACTTTTGTCGTACTCAATATCAAATAATTGGAATACCTCCAGAATTAAAATTCTTCACCGCTGGCTTCCGCCTCCTCTGCCTAGCAAATATGGTAGTAGAGGCATCCATTCTCCCCTGCCATTATTGATATTAGCTTTTATTATATTTAATTCTTCTTCTTACAAGTCCCCCCTTCATATAAAAAAAAGAATCGGGTGCCACTCTTATTGCTTGTTCTATTGATTACCCTAATCGAACGTTCCACTCGAAGTTAATTCCAATACTATCATCTCTAAATCAAGACTGGCTACAAATGGCATGAGGCTATCCCTAGCTTCAATCTAGGAAAGCAAAAAACTTAGAATAATTTCAAACTGGCGCCTAGGCGGGTACATAGCTACACCTTCTACTTACGTCGATTACGGACAAATCATGATTAACAAGACCACTATCCTTACAACCAATCTCGTCATTGCTAACCCCGTCACAGATCAATAAAAAAAATCCTGATTAAGACTTTTGATAAAGCTAATATACCGTATACCCTGGAACTACTTAGTATTTTCATTGATAGTTCCAAAACTTGATAATATCGTAATACCCTAGGTGCAATTATTTCTCTCTAGACTAGGAGCACACTTTCGACATCTAAGCCAAGTCAATTCTCATCGAGCCTTATAAGCCATATTTTAAAAAATTTATTTAAACCAACAATGTAATTTTTGTCACCATCGCCATTAATACTCTATGAAATTTTTATGGTGAGAGGCTTTATACAGCATCTACATGAGCGGGAAGGGTAAGAACAGTATCCTATTTTTTGAAAGGGGTAAGGAGTAGGCTGCTTTGGGAGTAAGGGGTAGGCTGCTTTAATGGTGGTAAGATAAATTTTTTGGGGGGTTATCTATTAAATTTCCAAATAAAACTTGCTGTTATCATTTCAGCAAGCTCATAATGCCATATTACTTAATTCATTGAAAATAATGTAGTTTTTAATTGAATTTATTATCTAAAAAATAAATTCTTTATATTCACAAAATATCGATAGTTGGCAGTAGAGATAGATTAATAAATTCTCTGAAAAGAGTATTAATAAATTTAAAAGGTAAAAGTAGTAATAAGGAGACAACGCCGCCAAAGGCGGCCAATTTTTTAGAGGAGGTAGGCAAAGGTTTTTGAAGGGGGTTTTCAGCCAGTGAAAATCTTGTCATGTAGACGCTGGATAAACAAATTTCAAAGGAGAAAAAGTAACTACCAAAACTTGAGAATCAGAATAAGAGACTTTATTTCTGCCAAAGAATCTCCTATGAGATTTGTCACTCCAATTTTCTTTTCTCCCTCAGGTGATTATCATCTCCATATATCGCCGGGGTGGCTTAATGGGTTAAATTTATGCATGGAAACAGAAGGACGAAGAAGGACGCAGGTTCAATCCTGGTAAGGAGCATAAAAACATTCAAGTTTTTCTTCGATGACTGATGTGTAAAGACATATGGTAAGATGAATTTCGGAGCTTAGAGAGGACACCCCGGTCACCGACAGGCCTGGACAGCCGGGTGCTAAGGATACCTGTCCAATAAACAAAATGAAGGAAACAAATGGAAATATGAATATGAAAGCTAGAGAGTTCTCTCCAAGCGACCCGCAGGGTATAGATCTCCATTTTGTGAAAAGTAAAGGTCAAAGCAAAGAAGACAAGATTAGCAAGTTTGAATATTGGGACGCTTAAAGGTAAATGTTGAACAAGAGAAAAGTTGATATAGCGTGCATTCAAGAGACGAAATGGAAAGGTCAGAAGACTTTAATGATTGGAGATGGGTATAAATTGTACTATAATGGATGTTACAATAGGAACGGTGTCGGAATCATCCTCAGTCAAGATCTAACCTCCACAGTAATAGAAGTCAACAGGATCTCTGATAGACTAATGAAGATAAAACTCTGCATTGGTCAATCAATACTATACATTCTTTCAGTATATGCTTCTTAAACGGGTTGCAAGGGAGAAGAGAAAGATGACTTTAGAGCTATCCTTGGTGAAGCTATAATGGAAATCCCTAAGGATGACCTAGTCATAATTGGTGGTGACTTAAATGCGCATGTGGGGAAAGCAAGAGATAGCTACAAAAGGCATCATGGTGGTTTTGGATATGGAGAAAGAAATGATGAAGGAGAGCACGTACTGAAATTTATGCAAGCCTTCGACCTTGCCTTAACCAACACCTACTATAGGAAAAAAGACAGTCATTTAATAACATACGAAAGGGGTACGAAAACACAGATAGATTACATGATAATCTCTCGCAGAAGATTAAGATGTAATAGACTGCAAAGTCATCCCAGGAGAAGATATCGCTGTACAACACTAGCTAATAGTCATGGATTTACACATCTCAAATAAATGCACTCAAAACAAGATAAAACTGGAACCATGCATCAAATGGGGGAAATTAAAAACAATGACAGATGCCTTTGCAATCAATGCAAAGATTGAAACAATAGATTCCTCACAAGTCAGTGAAAAAAATGTGGACAGACCTTTCATTCAGATTAATAGACACTGCCAAATGACACTAGGCTTGACAGGGGGAGGCAACAAATCATACAAAGAACTATGGTGGTGGAATGAAGTGGTACAAATCACTATAAGGGAGAAAAAACCCCTTTATAAAAT